ACAAAAGACCGTGAAACATAAACCCATTGAAGTGGCAAAGAGATGAAGTCTTGTGGCATAAGCCTTTTAGACACATTCCATATCATGGCAGGTGGGGAGCGATGCATCACTCACGAGTGTATCTAATCAAAGCAAACCTATGGCTAAACAGTAATCCACAAGCACCACTCTCTGAAAAGCACACAGCCTTAGAAGAGACAAGTATAATAATGCCCTTAGTGACAAAAAAATGGCCACTTGTAAGAATGCGTAAAGACAACAGAGCATACAGAAGAGTGGAACCAGCAAGGGGGGCCTCAAAACAGATCAACTCTTTTCTAAGGATCTAAAAATACAATGTATAATGCGTGCAATTAAATGTTGTCTGTAAGAATTTGTTCTATTAGTAAAACTGCACTGTAGTGGTTAGTTTCCATAGTTATCGTATGCATTCTAATTAACAGCTTTAATTAGGTGCCTGTAATATTTACACAGAAACCTTTACTTTCTGGGAACTGGAAGTGATTGTGTTGTTTCTTTTAGCTGAAAACTGCAACATAGCAATGAATATATTTTTCATTCTGCAAATCTGTGTGCTACTCTATGCTGTTCTGCTTCATAAATTAGCTATCACAGAGGAAAAAACATATATGTTGTAGACACTGCATATATAGCACCGTGTAAGTGGCAATATACATTCTGCTGCTCATATAGGTTTGGGGATCTATGCTTCCTGTTTAGGTTACTGCAATGTGCTATACAGGAAGGTGTTCTTGAAGATGGTTCAAAAGCTTCAGCTGCTGCAGAATTAGCCCATGAAGTCACCAATGGAGACAAGCATTCAGAACATATTATCCTGGTTCCCATCCACTTGTATTGGTTGTCAGTGTCTACTTCAAGATTTTGGTATGACCCTGTCAAAGTCAAATCTTTATTATGGCCATAGGCCAGCATAAGGTAAAAGCACCTACGTACATGCAACAAGACAGACGTCTCCTATAGGATTCTCTCCCCAAGAATCTGGAAATTTCTCTGCTATCTTTTCAGTGTCAGGCAAATATATTCATTTTTTTCTTCTTTTTTTGTTTTGTTTCTTGTTTTTAATAATTTTCAGTAGTTTTATCACTTATAAGAGGATTACAGTTTTTAGGGTTCAGGGTTATCACTCCTTCCTGTTGAAAGTTTTATTGTGGGTTTATTGAGTTATTGTTTATTGTGTTATTGTGGGTTTATTGAGCTATTTTTGCTTTTAATACAAGGAAGCTTTTTCTTACCTATAATGTATGAGTTATTGATTTTCTTTTACAAGATGTAATTGTATTTATGTATTTTTAATTCAATTTCTTATTAGTATATTGCAAGTCACCTAGAGGCTTCAGCCTAGATGACTCACAAAATGAATAAATATTCAGAAAGTAAATAGTATTCATCTATGCATATCATCATATTTTTATTTTAGTATGAGAACAGCTGTTAGATTATTACTTATTGCTTGGTAATCATTTCTAAATGTTACAAATGTCTTTCCAAATAACTTCTTTTCAGAACGTCCAAACAACATTATATAGGGCACAGTAGTCTAGCCAAAGATAATAATTTATAAGCCCCGTCTCCCTCATTGAAATCAATGATATTTATAATTGTTGAACTTTTGATGGACCACACCCATATTTTTTATGATCAACAAGTAATAGACTTGCAACATGTGTAAAGATAAGCTAAATGGATGAGACTAAGTATAGAGGTTAATTCAGTCTACTTATTCTGAAGAACATACACACTACATGTGATGAAGTGAGAGGGAGAGAATATGCAACTTATAGATAATATTTTGAATTTTTAAAACTGCAAATGTCCCAGTGCAATTACATTTTTGAGGCTATAGAGCCAGGAAATGTCTTGTGACATAAATGTCTTACTCTATTTCTGCAAGCTTTCCTAGGCGTGAGTAGATCAGGATATAAATATTCTCACTGGAAGAGGTTGACTTCATGCTAAAATCAGTTTGGGTCAAACTACATGACACATTAGGCACATTTTTTTAAAAAAAAATCTCCTCTTAGCACTGGCCAGTTTTGCCCCCCAGTCCCATTCAGGATTGCAGCATTTGGAAAATTGTGGAGAGGAAAAGCTTAAGCTAAAGGAGACAGTGTGATAGGAAACACATACACCTCACCTGACCCTAAAGGGACAACCCTAACCACCCCCAACATGGCAGGGCTTTACAGAGTGGCAGGGCCACTGCTTCATCCACATCACTGCTGTGCAGAGCAGCTGGGGCAGAAGGTGGGGTCAGGTAGATTACTATGGCAACCTAGATCAAGCCAAGCCTGGATTAGGTCCAATGCCTGATGGCTCAGCACAGGCCTGGAAAACTAGGTGGAAGAGGAAGCTTCATAGCAAAAGAGTGATACTGGCATCATTCTGCAGGCAGTGGCTTGTGAGAGGCCATCGGTGACACCTATGTGTAGAGAAACACCTCTCAAGGACCACCTCTCCCCATAATCTGAGCTGGACTCTATGCTCATCATCTGAGATCTTTCTTCATTTTCCTCCTCTTTGTGAGGTCCGGAGGGTGGCAACATAAGAACAGGCCTTTTTTGCAATGGCTCCCCATTTGTGGAATGGGGAGATTCATCTGGCATTTTCCTTATATATCTATAGGAACCAGACAAAAATATTCCTTTTCAACCAGGCTTTTGGTTGATTAATATTCTGCAGCCTTTTAAACATATTTGTGGGGGGTATTGTTTTAACTATTTATTTCTGCTTCTGTCTTGTGTTTTCATCTTGTGAATCACCCTGATGAAGGGTGGTATATAAATCTAATAAACAAACAAACAGAATCCACACACACACAGTCCATTTCACAGGAGGTTTGAATTGCTCTGTAAGACCTGTAAGATTTTCTCTCTCCCACGTGGGCAAACTGTTTCTCTCTGCTCCATAATTTCTTCCAGAGCCCTCTTGTCACCCTATCCTTCAGCCTGAGTGCTTGAACAGCTGGAAACAAGAAGCCTGGGGCCTAAAGCAGATGCAAGGATGGATACAATGTAATGGACAGACACACCATTGGGAGAGAGGAGAGGTGACGGCCTGCCGCACAAGGAAAGGATTGGGATGCTGAGGGCATCAAAGTAAGCAGGCAGCTCTGCAATTCAGATGTCTGAGAGCAGCTTTCAGTGGGCTGGGGACCAAGATGCCAGTCTGCCAGTGGAAAGCCACGAGTCACTTTTGCTCAGAATGAACCATGCAGGAAGGGTCATTCCAGTGATAATACTTTTATTTTTTTGCTGGGACATACCTTGCACCTGAACAGATTTACTGAGCCATGAATAAGCAATCCTGTCAAAGCTACAGCTGGTACATGCTCTTGTTGCTTTCTTTTATTGCTTTGTTTTCCTACTATTTTTCTGCAGCCGGAATGTGCCATGACAACACTCTCCCCGTAGAATACCTGTGCATTGAATGAAGTATCATGTTGAACTAGGTCAGAGGGCTGCACATCAATATGAATGCCAAATCTCAGGCATATTGCACACCACACTTTGGCATCTGTTACAGCTACGTATCCCCACTAGAGTCAGCTGGGTTATGCAGTGGTAATGAGGGCGGAATATGAGAGTGTGGGTACATTGTAAGGATGAATACAAATTATGAGTGAATAAATTTCACATCCTAATTGGCTTTTAGAGGGCTTGTTGTCAAAGGCAATGTTACAGCAGCTTTTCATGATTATTCAAATAATTGTTTCTGAAAAGAATTCCCTTCATATGTTTAGCATGCTGTGTCTGGATAGAAGGAAAAGACCATAGAATAAAGAGAAACTGGGTGCAGCACAAAAGTGCTGTCTACACACAAACTCTCCATGGCTTAGAACCAGAGGAGTCTCTGTGGGTTTTAATCCACTGGGAGCAGTCAAATACAACATTCCTTGTTTTGCTAGAGTGGATATGCAAGGGAATGTTTGGTCCAGCCAGTCGAAACTTTCTGTTCCTCCTGGCCTGGAGCATCCTTCCTTGCATAGTGGATGGGCGTGACCTTTCCAGACCTGGTAAAAGGCCAAGGAATGCTGCCTCTCTCTCTCTCTTTTCCATCTTCCTTTCATCTTGCAAACTTCCCGGACTGCTAACTGCAGTCACTAGGTCAACCCACGTATGGGGTAAACCTGTTTGTATATGCTTGTAACTTTAAGTCTTAAGCCTGCCTTCAGGGATCACACTGTGCTCTGCCTTATCATGAGTAAACTTTCTTTTTGTTACTTATGAATAAGACTGTGGTGTCTTTATTCTTTTAGGAGGGATTCAAGGGGTTTTACCAGGAAAATATTAGAACACATTTCAATCTGAACAAGCCAGATTGAATTGTGTATTGTTTTAAGAAACTCACATGAGTTTGCAACAAGTTTTCTGCTGTGTAAAGGGGAATGCATTCTGCTAAGTAAAGGAATATGATAGTGCAAGTTAGGAAGGATATTAATAAACAATATATCCTCTCCTTCCACCCTGAACATTCTCACAGTCTGTAGCCCTCTGCTTCATGTCTTCTTAATATATTGTGTGACTAAATGTATATTTAAGGTGCATCCACATATGGGTAATATTGTGTTAGTGATTCAGTCCCATTTTCTTATGTTCCTTTCACAAAGCAGCACCTGTTGTGATATGGAACTGTGGTTTTTTCAACCGATATACTGGCATGTCATGCCAATTTTAATTCACACCAGTGGGCGTGGTGTGACACAACAATGAACACCATTGGACAACTTCACTTCTCCCCCTTTCTGCAGATGTGTGCTTCTGTTCTCCCATGCATAAATGTTTAATTGTACATCAAAATGGAAAATAACTCTGTATCTGTACTGCTAAAGGCATAGCATGGTATGGAAACCTCCACTAAGCTAAAAAGAAGAAGAAGCTCTCAGAGAGTTTAAGAAGTAAATGATTAGGTGAGAATGTATCTCTGCCAACTCACACTTGGTGTTTGACTTAGATCACATGAGGTATTCAATTACAAGTCTCGGTTTTGGGTGTGTGAGTTAGGTCTTTGTTCTGAAGCACTGGAGAAGAAAGGATGTGCAAATGATTCTCCAGTTCTCAGGCTGGGTTGGAGAAGCAGAGCTTTGATTTCAGCTCTGGGTGAAGTTATTTCATATTCTAAGATTCTATGCCTGTACTTGGATCAGCACATGATGTTATTCAACTATCTGGATGTAACATTATTTGCTTTATGTTTGTTTTGAAGCAAGGTAATTAAGCTCTTGAACCATATTTTTGGACTGGACAGTTTTTAATTCAATAAGAATAAGTTTGTATTCATCCTATTGCTTCCAAATGTGCAATATTAATAACTGAAATAATGATTCCCCCATGGAAAGAACTGTATTGGGAGGTTTTTAATGCCTGGTGTTTTTATCATGTTTTTAGATATGCTGTAAGCTGCCCAGAGTGGCTGGGGAAACCCAGCCAGATGGACGGGGAATTAATAATAATAATAATAATAATAATAATAATAATAATAATAATACAACCCAAATTTTATCACTTTACTCCTGTGATTTTTCAATAACAGATACCATATACGTGATATTTTCCTTGTGTGTTCTGATGAAGTATGAATGGGATGCAATCCATGAGATCTCATCTAACAACTTGAGGGATTCGAAAAGCAGCTGTTTGAAGAGTTTGGAAATACTGATTAGATATATGTTCATTTCACGCGTGGTTTTGATGGTCCACTTATAAAACAATTTTCATTGGCTTGTGGGTTCCTATGAATTGGTCTATTTTCTTTTTCATAATTAGGGACCTTCTTTATTTTGGTTCTTGGGCATCTCTGCTATCTGGTCCCTCCCCAGTCAGACTATATTAATGGCCAATACTTTTGCATAGTATGGAGGGAGATTGAGACCTCGTTTTTGCAGCAATCCACTCTACATTTTCTCAACAGAAACTCCTCCTTTGCTTTTGAATCACTCTTAGTCTGATTCAAAGATTATGTGTCATCTCTAAGACTTAGATTCATGTGTTGAACACTTCCTCTCTTGCTGCTGCTGTAAGAATTGCTAAAGCCTTTGCTTCCATATTCAGTAGTCCATAGAGTGGCGTTCATATGGAGCCCCCAGTCGTCTCACAGACTATTGACCCGTACACCACTAATCCGCTGCCATCAACCAGGTCGTCCCTGGTAAAATCACTTCAGTCTCAGTCAGGTTCTCAATTAATAAAGAAGAGTGCATTTTATTTCAGACACAAACAAACTTTTACAGCATTCCAAACGTTGTTGCTCTTTACTTTCTTAGTCTTATTTTCCTCTCTCTATCTCTTCTACCTCCCCACACTCAAGAACCCACTGCCCTAACTGTCTCTCTATTACCAACTACCAACTGCTTCTCCAATTGCCTTTCCCAACCAGCCAACCCACTAAAACCAACCAACTACCCACCAACAACTCCCAATGAACTCCTCCACGAACTCCTCCCAGAACTGATTTTATAGTCCCACTGACTCCACCCCCCTGGGTCCTGACTGGGCAACCTGTTTAACACATAGCTACTGTGAATAGAATTTACTGTGGTTCAAGGAAGCAAATTAGTTTAGCCAGGTTTGAAGTTGGGCTCCCCCCAAAAAAAACCAGGGCTGGCCCACCCATGAGGCAAGCTGAGGTGATCACATCGGGTGGCAGGATCCACGGAGGTGACAGATCCAGCCTCCAGGGCATGTGTTGCCAGCTGCTGCTGTTGCTACAATGGCAGCGATATTTAAGGCATGCTCCATGGAGGCCACACCTGCTGCCTCCTCAGCAGCAGCCCCCCATTCTGCCTCCATAGCACCCTCTTGATGAATAGGAGGCACTACTGGTCTCCTCCCATCCCTAGGGAGGAAACGGAAGGGACTGCCCTCTGTGGTCTCCTAGGCTCTGCACCTGCCTGACATGGTTCAGAGAGTGTGCCCCCCCCATGATATCCTTTGATTTCCACTTCCACCATTGAGTAAGGTTGATTTTACTCTCCCCCCCCCCGCCACCATTCCTGATGTAGATCTCCCTGGTGGGGAGGATGCCATTCTGTGGTTCATTTCAGGTGCCAAAATATATTGGACCGGCCCTACCCTAAACCATACGGTACACTGTGCACAATGTTGAAGTGTGGTTCATTGGAAATGGGAATTAATGGTTCTGATATCATAAAAAGCCATCCCAGGGGAGAAGGGAAGGAGTGCTTGCAAACCCAAGTTCCACCCAGGCTCATTCCCATGGTGTTAACAAAACGGAAGCTATGAAGGCTACTTGAAATGATAGGAGCAAGTGGAATGGTTGAAAAATGGCAAAGGTGGTGTCAGAGAGCCAGTGTAGATGGTTAATTTTGTATCTGTATAAATTTTGTATTTGTATAAATGTTAGCATCTGAAGAGGAAAAGCATTCTCTTTCAAAGTCATGTGCTGCTTTTTCCAGATGCACAGTTTCACAGAGGGAAGGAAGAACTGTTTAGCATCCCCAACAGAGTAGCTGTTGGGGACTTGGTTGCAACAAATGAGATACACTGCACTTAGGTACATACCACATACATGGATCCTTGTCCCTTTTGATTTGTTTGCTCTGGTGTATATATTGTTAACTGAGCAGTGCCTGCAGTTTTTGCATCTGCTGTACCTACAGGGAATCACTGCAGTTTAGGTTGTTGTGTCATGATTTATCGGAAGCTTGTTCTAATTATTATTTTTTAACTGTAAAAAAGTGTGTGAGTCTGTGGAGGTCCCTGATTATTCAGTATCAGTGTCTGCCCAACCTGTTCCCCCATGAAATATTGAGTGTTTGAGGAAAGTTTTTCCTTTTTTTGAAATGTATTTTAGCACATGTACTTTATACAGTATATGCATATTGCACTTTTTAAAAATTATTGTGATATCTTGTGTGGTGGTTTTCTGGTGTGTCTTTTGAGAAATATTGGCTTGAGGTTGAATCCAATAGGGAGTCATTGCACGAAAAGAAAGACTTCTGTCCATGCAGTGGAAATTACCCTCCCCTCCCTCATGGGTCCATACACCACCCCCAAATCTGCTCTGCAGGATTGGGGGGAACCTTCAGAGAAGATGTGAAGATGCATAGCCCACACTCTCATAAAGCCTACTGAAAATGGAATGGGTGTGTCTTTAATGAATGCCTCAAGAATCCAGTGGCAAAACACTTAGCACATGGGTAGGCAAACTAAGGCCCGAGGGCCGGATCCAGACCAGTCGCCGTCAAAATCCGGCCCGCGGACAGTCTGGGAATCAGCGTGTTTTTACATGAGCAGAATGTGTGTTTTTATTTAAAATGCATCTCTGGGTTATTTGTGGGGCATAGGAATTCATTCTTCCCCCCCCCAAAAAAAATATAGTCTGCCCCCCCCCACAAGGTCTGAGGAACAGTGGGCCAGCCCCCCGCTGAAAAACTTTGCTGACCCCTGACTTAGCAGATATCCTCAAGAGATCTCATAATATGACAACCGCAACTGAAAAAGAACTTCTCCAAGTTTCAGCCTCTCCAAGATTATGTTTCCAAAATAGTCCCTGTGGATACCATTTCATGCGGTAGGTGAGATGGATGTAGCAGAATGTGCTCCCTAAGGTACCCAAGACCTTGAATGACAGGTCATGAAACATTTAGGATATATCCATTTAAGCCCCACTTTAGCATAATCTTAAATGGAAAGAAGAGCAGTCTGGCAAATGTATTTTAGACAACGAAATAACTAGAGATAATAAAAGATATTATATCCTGCCTCACTAAGTAGTCAGAAGAGGTGTCAATTGGTTGTTATGGGTGCCAAACAACCTTTCAATAAGGAAGTTTATTATGATGCTGATACATGGGCTATGCAGCAAGAAAGAATATGTCCGAAAGAATATGCCTGAAAGACAAGGAGGTATAATGTGAATAGCAAGACAGTGAGGAATCTACCATAATAAACAAAAACTCTATTTGCTCCTAAACAAGTAAATATCAAGTTGTTCCTCTGACTCTTTGGCTTCAGTATTTGCCATCAGGACCTGTCACACATTAGTGACCCCAGCTGCTCCTCCCTATTCCAGATTGTAGCCTGTAGTTTTGAGTTTGTAAACAAGATCATTTGAAGGTTCATTTTTATAATGTCTCAAAAGCTTAACTTTCTCCCCCTCCTTTGAGGGCTTACCTAAAAATGAAAGAAGCTCTTTCACATCTGATTGCTGTTTGCTTTAGAACCAGTCTGTTGACTAAAGGAGATCACAAATTTTGATTAGCTCGGCTTAATTGCCACAATTTCTCTTCCCTGGTAATTTGCTATTGACAAAGATGTATTAACTTCATGCCTATGAAAAATGACAACCTGTATAAAAATGTCTGCAGTTCCTCGTTTTTGATAGCTCTGTTTGCATTTATTTTTTATTCAGTATTTATTTTGTATATGATACAGGCTAAAGGTTGCTGTGCATCACCATAGTTACTGAGAATTTCTGTTAAATGAACAGCTAGCCTACTATAACACTTAGGCAGTCAAGCATTCTGCAGGGAGTGCACAAGAAAATGTTTGGAAGTAAGTATCTCATTCATCATTTCCTTTGATGAGCAAATTTGGTAGTCCTATGCCAAGCAGTTGGAAAGTGAAATGCAGCCAAGGTAGGGGTTTCCAGTTGGATATGTGCTAAATTCTTCCATTGCCCACCAGCCACTGCAGTACACAAAGGACAGATACTACTCTAGAATAACAACCAAAATCAAGGCACTCTGGTTCCCCTCCATTTAGTCATCTCTTTCACGGTATATAGCTTAGTTGTGACTGTATTTACTATCTATAAAGAAATTACAAATTGGTTTAATAGTTCCTTTGGTTGTTGATTGAGAATCTTTTCTACTTGGCAGTAATGACTGCAAATTACGTTTATGACAGCTCATAATGAGTGGGGAATACCACATGTTCCATCATCTCTTATTTTATCTGGTCCTTACTACAGCTCTTCTGCAACTAGTAAACTTAGGTGGTGTGTGCAGACAGGACTGAAGCCCAAATGTCACCCCGCTAATCTTTGCCTCCCTTTCTCCATCCTACTCTACAGTCTCCATTTTCTGACTACAGTGGTACCGCGGGTTAAGAACTTAATTCATTCTGGAGGTCCATTCTTAACCTGAAACTGTTCTTAACCTGAGGTACCACTTTAGATAATAGGGTCTCCCACTGCCGCAGCGCTGCCACTGCACAATTTCTGTTCTCATCCTGAAGCAAGTTCTTATCCCGAGGTACTATTTCTGGGTTAGCGGAGTCTGTAACCTGAAGTGTCTGTAACTTGAAGTGTCTGTAACCCGAGGTACCACTGTACAAGGTAAAAGAGTACTGAGAGACCTGGTAGTATGGAAAGCAAGGTAGTGGCTTGGCTTCATCTTCCACTCCTGTTACTAGTGCTGTGTCCACCCCCTTTTGTTTGTTGACCCTCCAGTGCAGGACATGCACACTCTGAACAAGATGTGCATTGCAGTGTTAAATGAACAATACATGGACTTCCTCATCTTGTTAAATGAACAATACATGGACTTCCTCATCTTCAGCAAGCAGGTGAGTAACAACAATGGATACCAATGTAAGGCAATATGTTTGCCTCCACTTTAGGTGAATTTTTCAATGTGGCTTTAAGCAGTCTGAATATTCCTTCTAATTTCTTCCTTCTTTTTTAGATATGGAACTGACTTTGCTGAGAAAAATCCCACAAATACAATTTTTCAGAAACAATTTCCTGAGGGGGTGT